CCTGAAGGGGGGCATCTAAAACAGGACATCACATGATTAGGCATACCAGACACATTAGACTTAATTGGGGTCAGTCTCCCCGCCCTAGAGAGGGTATTAGCTTTCCACCCTGCAAACTTTGAACGAATTCTATCAATTAACTCCTTTGCATTTTGGGGATCTTTCTAGAAAATAATATTGTAGATACCTAAGTATCTACCAATAGTGGTTCTGTGTTGGATTTGCAAGATAGTACTAATATTGGTTTTTACAAATTTATAAATAAACCCAATCTTAGACATGTATTTATAAAAAAACCCAAACACTATTTAAACATAGAAACACACCAAAAATCAACCCAAAAATCAACAATTGTATATTTTTTGGGTGTGTTTATAAATTGGTTTTGAGTGTGTGTAATGGTAGGTTTTGGGTGTGTTTATAAAGTGTTTTGGGTGTTGGGTTTTTTAATAATTTCAGCCCCCATTTTGGGTGTTTTAGTGAAACTCCCGTTTGTTTTTGACATTTGTGGGAACTTTGGGTGAGAAATAAATGATGGACTTATAGAAATTAATATATTGGCCAGAGGCCTTAGAGAAAGCTTCAAGAACTATCAAAACATTTCTAGTAGCCACAGGCGTGGCTTTAGTAAAAATTAAGCAATCATCTACATTGAAACCAAACTTAATTAAACAAGCTCTTATGTAATTCCAATTGAGGATATCATAAGCTTTCTGAAGGTATAATTTAAGTGTCATTGCACCCAAAGAACCTTTTTTCCTTTTAAAGTCACTAACAATTCATGAGCAATTAAAATATTGTCAAAAATAGACCCCCAAGGTGCCAAGGCACCTTGGTTTGGAGAGATACACTTAGAAAGGATGAGCCTAAGTCTAGTGATGATGATTTTAGTAATAATATTATAAACTACATTGTAAAGAAATTATGAACAAGCTGAATAAGAAGATGCTTGGTCTCAACCCATGGAAAGGAAATGTTATTGAAATTTTTGGAGGCACCGCCCTCACCAAAAACATTAGTTTGAGAAAGTACTTAAAACAAAATGAGAATAGACTTCCCAACAACTAGTTTTTGCAGTTCCTTTTGACATTGTTGGTGGACCAAATAACAACATGTATTAGTTGGATCTTAGTATATAGAGTACAATAAGCAGATTATTACAATCTTTTCTTTTCTTCTTAATTATTATTTTGTATATCATGGGGCTTCTAAATTATGGTGGTAATGTTTTGTAAATAAAATTATATTTGTAAGAGTATTTTCAAGAGATATTTTAAATTAAAATGTTAAATTTGGATTTGACGACTTAAGTTATTTAACATTTTGTAAATTTCTTTAACTTCACCTGAAATATTAAACACTATATTACGTCGAACCATTTGCAATGAACAAAATCTATCTTGAAATAGTAAAGGCGATCTACTATTTTATACTATACAAAAGGTGATAAGAAGTTGGCAAATAGATTAAACAAATTAAAGACATGAACAAGATACAAAAAGGAAATTAACATAATGATTTAGGAATAATCATGACGTTAGTGGGGGTTAGATCAGAGGGTTCCAAAACTAGAAAAGCCAAAATGGAGGTAAAATATTAGAGAGCCAAACTATGTTATGCTTGTCTAGTGGCACTTTATTCTTTGTGCTCCTACGGACAGACTCGCCTCCCAAAATAAAATTGCAATATACAATATTATCCCAAGTGAAAAGAACAAGAGAGAGAAAGGATAAACTCTACTCATGTGTGGGAGATTTTATGATATATAATCATTGGTTTTTCTTTATAAATAGGTTTGTAGCTCGAGTGATTAAAAACAGTTATTTTTGTATCCGAGGTCCTTTAATCGATGATTACGTTTTTTCTTTTCTATAGATGATCTGAAGTGGAACTTAAACAATGAACGATTCATATGAAGACAAATTATGTGTTTGAAAACCTTTAGTCCAATGGAAACCTACTTTGAGTCATGAATTCATCATATTGGACAACTGCAGTTGCAATTTGCAATGGGGTATTATAAAATAAATAAATAAATAAATAAAAAGAAAACAAGAGGCTCCTACCAAAAAATATAAAAAAAAGAAAATAAATAAATATGTCGAAAGGCTGCGGTTGAGGCTGAGCTATCAGTCTTTTATACGTATTTTACTTTGACCAAGTCTAATTTGTGTGGGCCCTTAAATTATAGGTTAGTGGGGATTAATATTAAAAAACGTGCCTTATTGATGTAAAGAAAAACATGTTACTGTCAGATGTAAATATTATGATTGCTCATCCACGCCACGTCAGTTCTGGATATGCCCAGAATATTTATTAGTAGAATTTTCAATCCTGCCCTTACATGTTTGCGTATCCTAATTTTATTCCCCAACGTTATTCTTATTTCCGCTCTTTTGTTTGTTTTCGCTGTCGATTTCGATGGTGCCAGCTTTTTTTTTTCATTAACACCCTTCTTTTTCTTACACATCACTGTACGTGGTGGTGCCACCGACTCAAGGAACATTGAACCCGCAATCAGTGACACATCACTGTACGCCTTATCATTAAACTAAGCATATCTTCATGAAAAATAATAGTGCTCATTGTTTATTGTTTTATGGCATAAATTAAGGGTCTTTTTGTTTTTGTTTTTTTGGTATTTTCATGTTAGATTATGTGATGATTCCATTTTAAGTTTTGCACATGACTTTTAGGGGACCGACCCCATTAATTATATGAAACTTTCTAAGTTTTTCGGGTTATTTTAAATTGGTATCCAATCTCGTAAGAATTTACAAACTCATACATTAAACCTTATAAGCAAGTCCATTCGTTAGTCAAACGATTGATTAGTAGGTTTCTTTTACCTCCTTTTTCTTTTAAGTGGGGATTACTAACATGAGCCCCACCAAACGCACCTCTTTAGAAGTTCTTATTTAAGCCCACGTGAAAGGTGGGGGACAAAATAAAACCCTCCTCCTTTGCTTGTTTTTTTGTCTGACAACAAAAAGGAGATTGTGCTTCTCTTTTGCTAGTGAGTATAGCCATTGTGCCTCCCCACCTTACATGTAATATAGATAGTACTATTTTGCTATTGTCGGTAAATAACACAATGACATGTGAAAAAGTTATTATACATGTCATTGCGTTATTGGTCGCCAGTCACAAATCATCGACCACCCTCCTCTCCGACATATTTTCTTTTAGGTTTCTGGCTTCTGATTTGTTGATTCTTTGGGTTTACGGTTTATTGATTTTTTTGGGTAGATGAGGTTTATTTTCTTATATGTATCAGTGTAATCTAATAAATTACAACACCTAACTTTCTAACAAATCCTCCAAAGCCCGTTCTAGCTTCTTCCAAAATAATGGGGAACATACACGCGTTTCTTTAATAATTCCTTCAACTTGTTACAAGTTTTTTTAATATTATTTTTCTTTTGTCGCTAAGTTTTATGATTTTTTTGAAGGTGATGAGGACCTACTTTTTTTTAATCATAAATATTTTATTTTATGAGAGACGAGGACCTACCTACTACTTGTTTGATCTGATCCCATCATTTTTCATGGAAATTGCAAAGTATTTACCACGACATACATCTACATGTAGTCATTATCTCTCTTATGTACTCATCCTTTTTGGGAACTCTGCTCTATTATGTGTAGTTGAATTGTTATAAGATTAAGTTTTCTCCAAATATGTTTCATACATTTTTTTTCAACACTAGACGTGGTAAGGCTTGACCGCGTCATTGCTTGCTTCATGTGATGACGGTGGTGCTCATTTGAGTTTATGTGTATTTTGTGTTTTGTGGGCTTAACTTGGAATAATGCTTAGGTTTAGTGTGTGCGTGCGGCATTTATTCGCTTCAATTTTGTCTTTTTGAGTTTATTGATTTTTTTGCCTTTTTTAGATCGGTGCATTTTACGTATCGTAGAAGTTTTAGTTTTAATTTTATATAAGAGAAGTCTTAGTTGTATTATTGGAACTTATCTAATAAATTTGCTATTATTTTTCAAAATTATATTGAATGAAACAAGATTGGAAAAAAGAAGAAGAATGGAATTGTCTAGCTTGTACCAAGTTACCAACACTGAATTTTTCCCATTTCAATCATTCAACAACAAATGATTGTAACAGAATAACCAAATACTATGTAAGAGATATAATAAGAAATAGTGAAGTACTATTGAGTGTATTTACCAAAAATAATAGAAATAAATATACAGAAATAAAAAATTGTAAATACCAAATATAGAATAAAAAATTAAAGAGTCGGTTCTGAAAATGAGAGAAAAATTAAGGTCTAAAAAAATTTCCAAACTTTGCTAGAAGGAATTTCAAATTGGAATTTGACAGAAAAAAACTAAAAATTTCAAGTTGGAATTTCACTTTTTGTAAAAAATAAAAAATAAAAAATAAAAAATAATTTTGTTGTCCGTTGTTTGTTTTCAATAATAGAAGAAGAGAAGTAGATGACAACCCACGGCACCTTCCTAACATTGAAAGAGGTCAAACCAGCACTTCTCTCTTTCTCTATCACCATTTTCTTTTGCCTTTTCTTCTCTCTCTGAACAAACAAACTTGTTATTCTCTCTCCAAAGCAGGTTGGTGAATCGAAGGAATGAATGTGAAAAAAAAAATAATGCTAAAAAATTGTTTCTTTTTCCTTTGAAGAGTCTGATCCTCCTCCTCCTCATCTCCCAAACTCAAACGTAAGTCCTCTCCTCCACAACTTCTGCCATTTTTTCCATCACACCTTCTTTCTCTTCTCTTTGCTTTATGTTATCCAATTTTCCAATTTCTCCTTTCTTTCCTTTACCAAATTTCGTGCTCTCATATTTCTCTGTTGGCTGAGACAAAATCCTAATTGGGTTCATGCTCTTAACCTCTGTTTCTGCTCACAATTTTTGCAGAAACCGTGCCAAAGTTTGTACCTTTTTTGCACAATCTTACCTTTTTTTCTTCCCTTTCAGCGTAATTGACAATTGGGTCTTTGGAGAATTGCGAGAAAGCCATGGCGCCAGCTCCAATTGAGTCGACATTGCCCGAATCGTCGTCTGCGAGCTCCCCCTATGTTCCTGAGAGATCTGAAGCTGAGAATCGTCGTTTCAAAGACCTTAGAAGTGTGCAATGGCGCATAAATCTTGGGATTTTGCCCTCTTCTTCTTCTTCTTCCATTGATGATCTTCGTCGGGTCACAGCTGATTCTAGAAGGAGGTACCTCTAACATGTCTCTTTATGATTTCTTCAACTTTTTATGCGTAGAAGGTTGCATTAGGATTCTTGTGTTTCGTTCTTTTTTGGTTTGAACAGTAAAGTCTTAATTTGGTGATCTATTTGGTTTTTGTTTTAAGCTTTTGCTCTGAGTTGATAATTTTATGCATGGGTTTTGCTAGATAATTCTATTTCCTTGACGATTTCCCTTTTTGAATTTATATATTTTTTGTTCTTTGTTTTTGTTTTTGTTTTCATTTTTAAACTCATACGAGGGTTTATAAGATACGGTTTCCGTGGTTTAGTTAATGGTCAATGGATTTTCTACATTTTGTTGCTTATCAGCTGTAAATTGTTGTGGAAACAGGCGTGTTACTTATGTCTTGATAAAGCAAGAGGTGTGTCAAGCGACTTGAAATTATGTTTCTTATATCTTTATGAATCAAGAAGTGGCTTCTTGAATTTTGTGCTTGTATTGGGTACATGCAGTTGATTAGTTGTGTCGATTGATTTGACTCTGAATTATGAAGTTAAGAGCGCTGAATTTAAACAAGTCTAAATTTTTTTTCAGTATCATATTAGACTGCAATGATTTGGTGGTAATTTTTAAGTTTGTGTAATCTTGTGCTGAGTTTACCTTGTCTACATTATTAGATATGCTGGACTGAGAAGGCGCCTTCTGGTTGATCCACATCCCAAAAAGGATGGGAGTAGTTCCCCTGATCTTTCCATAGACAATCCGCTGTCACAAAACCCAGGTAAAATCTATGGATCCTCCAAAGTGCATATGTGAACTGTAGAAGCTCCAGAAGAACATGGGCGAGCATGTTAATCAGCTATTTTGCTAATGCACGCTCAATCCTAAAATTTTCTTGAGCTTGGCTTTCCTATGTTTTTTTGTCTGCTGTGTTTTTTCACTTATTCATTATTAGCTTTCATTATGTAGCTGCTTTGTTGAAGTGATCAAATTTGGAGGCTTGCACCATGGTTTGCCTCATTATTGCATATTTTTCAATGAAAGTAAACTGTACTTTCTAAAGGAAAAAAGCTTTCCCTTGTAGATGTGTCAAATGTGTTTAGGGATTTTCCTGTATGCTACAATCTAAAACTACTAATGAATAACAGTCTCAGACTCTATTGTTATAACACCCAATCAAATCTGTGGGTGGCACGATAGTTCCTCATTGGTAATAAATTCAAGTTGACCTTTAAATATAAGAATGGAAATTTAAATGGAGATTTTACTGTTGCAATATGTGCCTAAGTGAGGTTACCTACTCATTGAGTGATGCGGTTACTAATCTGTGCCGTACATCTTACATGCAGATAGCACATGGGGTCGTTTCTTTCGAAATGCTGAGCTGGAGAAAATGGTTGACCAGGACTTATCACGTTTATACCCAGAACACGGGAGCTACTTCCAAACACCAGGATGCCAAGGAATGTTGAGAAGAATTTTGTTATTGTGGTGTCTTAGACATCCAGAGTGTGGTTACAGACAAGGTACATGACAGTACTCACATCAATTTTCTTTTTCCAAAAACCCTTGAATGTACTTTTGGGAGAAGAGATTTAAATTGTCTTTCTTCTCTAAGTGACTAAGCTTGGCGTTTAGAACACACTGTCTTGCTTTGTGCATGCGCGTGTGCGTGTGTGCTCGTAGTAGTAAGCACTACACAAGGTCCTGCACTACGTTGCTTACATCAGGGTACAACCTGCTTTCTTGGTATACAGACTTGAATATGGATCCTGCAATCTCATGTTGTAATGCATAGTTTAGTTATTATTGGACCATATTCTGATTACAAAAATCAAACACTACTGGTCTCCCCAAAATGACTAATAAAGAGGTTTATTCATTTTTAAAATTTTCAGAATGATTTATAAGGAAAGATTCTTGATTATCAGGTAGTTAGCCAGTCATTTCTTCTCTTGAGTTTTGACTTCTGTGGCAGCAAGTAAATCATATTTGATATTATTCTTCAATTTATTTGACCCTGACGTGCTGGGATATTTAACTTTCTTGCCCAATGTGATCAACAAGTTGCTAATCTTAGTGCCTGCTTGGTAATGTGTTCTGTTTTCCCTTTTTTTTATATTTTTTTTGGTTTAATTGAAGAGAAGTAAGGGAGATGGAGGTGAGAAAGTGAAAGAAGAGAAGTGAAGAAATGAAGATGCAGAATAGATTGCATTAAAAGAAAATTTAAAACCATTGCTTTCAGTTTTTATATTTTATTTAAAAAACAATTCAATGAATTATTTCTCTTCTCTCTCTCTCTCTCTCTCTCATCCCTGTCACCCCCTCTTTCCTTAATAAAAAAGAAACAAAACAAAACAAAAAATGATCCCTTAGTTATTGAATGTTTTCTAGAAAGGTACATTCACACACATGATCCATGGAAGCAGCTTTTTTCGTTCTAGAAGTTTAATTGTTTTTTCTCTTTGTTTTTCATTGTAGGAATGCATGAACTCTTGGCTCCTCTGTTATATGTTCTTCATTTTGATGTGGAGCATCTATCTCAAGTGCGTAATCTATATGAAGATCACTTCACTGATAAATTTGATGGTCTATCATTTCATGAAAATGATCTCACTTATAATTTTGAGTTCAAAAACTCTCCTGATTCCATGGAAAATGAGAATGGCTCACACGGAAATGCATTTAAACTTAAGAGTGTTGATGAGCTTGATCCTGAGATACAGACCATTGTAATGCTTAGTGATGCTTATGGTGCTGAAGGTGAATTGGGTATTATCTTGTCCGAGAAATTTATGGAACATGATGCGTACTGTATGTTTGATGCTCTAATGAGTGGGGCCCATGGTTCAGTTTCTATGGCAGAGTTCTTCTCTCCCTCCCCTGCTGTTGGATCCCATACTAGCTTACCTCCTGTCATTGAAGCATCTGCTTCGTTGTATTATTTGCTTTCTCTTGTTGATTCATCTCTACACAGCCACCTTGTTGAGCTTGGTGTTGAACCCCAGTATTTTGCTCTCCGCTGGTTACGGGTTTTATTTGGACGTGAGTTTTCACTTGCAGATCTATTGATAATTTGGGATGAAATATTTGCATCTGATAATAGTAAATTAGACAAAGGTTCCGAAGATGATGCAGCATCCAGCTTTGGCATACTTAGTACACCTCGAGGAGCATTTATATCAGCCATGGCAGTTTCAATGTTACTCTATTTGAGATCTTCCCTTCTTGCCTCCGAGAATGCTACTTTATGTCTTCAGAGATTGTTAAATTTTCCTGAGAAAATAGATTTGAAGAAGCTGATACAAAAGGCGAAGTCTTTGCAGGATCTTGCTTTGAAGAACAATAGTTCATCCTTATTATTTTCATACATTGGGCCCTATGAACATAGTAAATCAATGGCTGTGAGAGGTCATAGCCTCTCAGTTGATTCTTTTTCTCCAAAAACACCACTAAATCTGGTACCTGAAAGCTACTGGGAAGAGAAATGGAGAGTTCTGCACAGGGAGGAAGAACTTAGGCAAGATGGTTTGGAAAAACAGGTTCCAAGCCAGAAAAAGCGATGGACAGAAAAAGTAAAATTGAGCCTATCTAGAACAGAATCCGACCCATCTCCATCAAAACCTGAGAATGGCAAAAAGAACCCCAGGTTTTCTGTTCGACGAAGGTTGCTGCAAGACCTTTCTCGAGAACTTAGCTCAGAGGAAGATGGTGAGAAATTGGGTTCTCACGAAGACGAACTCTCTTCAGAAGTTGAGGTCAACAAAGAAAATGGTTTCAGTAAGGACCCTACTTCTGCCACCGAGAACAGATGTTTGAATGAAAATCCAGCTAGTGAAGAAAATTCATCTGTTTTCTCAGACCCAACTAGTCCTCGTAGTGGGGCTAATGATCATGAACCAGAATCAGAGAAGAGTAGTGTTGGATCAAATTTGTCAGTTGATGAAAATTATGATAATTCACGGGATGTATCGGAAGACCCACCTCTTCTGGTTTCTGATCCTTCCATAGGTGTCTCTCAAACATCTGAATGCAACAATCATTCAACGGGAAATTCAGTGATAGGAAAGGAACGAAAGCTTATTTCTGGTAAATTCCCGAGGTTTTGGAAGTTTGGATGGAATGCACCTGGTGAAGGGACATCTGAGAAAGGACACAACGCCCTTGAGGCTACAAAATCTTCCAGTTGTGAAGGTAATCAGGACACAACAAGCTCTTCCGTGGCTGAGGGGTCCTGCAATTATTTAGTTAGCTCCAAAGGAGAAGCTGTTGACCAGAATGTGATGGGTACTCTAAGAAATCTTGGGCACTCTATGCTTGAACATATTCAGGTAACGTTTCTTGTTTTGCTTTCTCTCAAGAGTATAAACTACAATTTGTTTTTTATCGTATAAGTTAATGCTTCCTATAGGATGCAGAGCAGTATAAAATTATATGTTCTAGGAAATGTGTAATGATTGTTAAAGAGGAAGAAATCCACCGAGTAGTGCGGTATTGGCTAGGGGCAATAACCATGAATTGATAGCTATAACTGGGTACAAAATTCCTTGTAAGCATGGTGTTTCTTTTAAGTTGGTTCCTTGTGCAGTTTTAGGGGGCAAAAAAAGTTGCTCCCAACAACACTTCTTAAGCATGTCAGATTTTATGTCAGCATTGTTCTGACTCTTTAACTAACATATCTGGCAGGTAATCGAGTCTGTTTTCCAGCAAGATCGGGGTGTTCAGGTTGGGCCATTGGAGAATTTTTCAAAAAACACTTTAGTTGGCAAAGGACAAGTTACAGCCGTGACAGCTTTGAAGGAGCTTCGGAAGATCAGCAATCTTTTGTCAGAAATGTGAGGTGTGCATTATTTATAGATACCTGTATATACATTTTGTAATTAATCTATTCATCTAGTGCCAAAATAAATCTAGTTTTATCCACATTTTTTCTCATTTGGTAACCTGAGTTTCGGCAGTGGCAGAGACAGATGTGTAAATATGAGTTTCTATAATAATCTTATGAATTTAAATGTATTATAAGGAGTGTAATTTCAGTGAATTTTGGCTACACACATTGGCTTCTCATCACAGAGATATGGGTTCGTGGAGTGATTATATTTCACAAAATTGAAGGAATTTTGTGGCAAAGCCAAAGAAAAAGGATAACGAAAAGAAGCAAACGTGTCTCTTTACTGCGAGTTGAACTGTGGAGAAGTTGGTAACAAGAGCTTGCCAAAGATAGCAGAATTAAACTGTCTTTGAGCATGGTTGTGGAATAATAGTGGGGGAATTCTCACATTTAATCAATAAGAACATCTATTTGCAGCTTCTCTGTATTTTTGTTTTACCTCATTTAATTTCGTAGCAGATCGATTTTTTCTGATTTCGCTAGTATGAAAAGCCTATTTTGGGATGCAAAATGGAGGAGAGGACTGGAAGAATATTTAGCTTTTGGAATTCATTTGGTTGTGTTTAAGGTTTACATATTCCCAAAAATATTAATAACCACGAAATGGAAGGTGCGGAATTAGTAAAATCGATGTACAAAGAAAATACAAGAGCACCGGAAGGCGGCTGAAAGATTAAGCAACTGCAGACGTAATTCATACAGTTTGGAAGGAGAACTGAAAAGCACTCCCACCAATACGAGAAGGAAAATTACAGTATCTGTTACAAATACATCTACTTCCTTTAATATATATATAAGAAGAGTTGCCAGCTTCACAGTTTGTTCAACAGACTACTCCTTCGCCGCATATGATCTACTACTCTATATTATGAAAACCTGGGAGAAGTGAAGTGATGAAGCCGAAAACGATCATCTGAATCTCTTTAACAATTCCCCACCAGCGGTTACCACCATTGGCTCCATCAGGTGCTGGCACATTCTCATTTCCAACCGCCTCATTTCCATCATCTGCAGGCCGATTCTCATTCTCGGCTCCCGGCTGTCCGTCTGCCACATATTTTTAACTGTTAGTAGAGAAGAAAATCATTTGTCATAAATGAACAGTGGAGCATGACATGGTCCATTGGCATTCAGTAACAAGAAATACACAATGTTCCCGAGGCCTTTTACTCTAGCAATGTGTCCACCAATTATGTTACACAGACCGCACTACACTATAGTTCTTCTTTACACCTCTCCTAAGGAAAACTGCAGCATATCTCACCAAAAGAGTTCTATTTCAAGTAGTGCAGACAGTAACAATCAATATTATCAGACATGTACAAATCACCTAATGACAATAGTCCCTACAAGAATTTTGCAACCAATGTTCCGATAGCAGTCTTAGATAAATGAAACTAGATGTGAACTGGAATACGTGATTTTTTTATTTTTTTATTTTTCCAAAAGATGTGACACTCAGCACGTACAGACAGTAACAAACAAAATTACCTGCCAAAGCAGCATTGTCAACCCCCTGCCTTGCAGCAGGAGGAACATTTCCGGCCCTGGCTACAGGCCTTGGGGGATGAGGAGGCACAGCTGCCCTATGCATGCCTTGAGAGAGCCATCGTACTAATGGTGTGAGCGAGCCAGTTTGATATCTGCAATATCTAACATCATCAAAATCCAGCTTTCATTTGTGAAACTTCACATATATTAATTTGGTAAAATTAAAGTCGACTACTGAAGAACCTAACTTTACTTTTCTTTATAAAAAAATTGCCAAATTCATCATATCTTACATTAATAATGAAACACCAACATTGTCCTGATATTGAAAATGGTACAAAGTTTAGTTACTTACAAGTAGACAATTGAAGCGACAATCACAAGGACAACAAGCCTTTGTCTAGACCCTTCTTGATTGAATAGAAATATTACAGCTGCAAGCTTCACAATAAGCAACACATCAAGCTGAAATGCAATTTGAAATCTCCTCACAACCACTTGTCTCTGATGTGCAGGCTGTTGCTGTTGACGTTGCTGCTGTTGTTGTTGTTCTCCCTCTTGGCCTTGCTGCTCCCCTACAGTGCCAACCTCTGGACTTGCTCTAGTTCTGTGGCATCAATAAATTCATGCTTAACGATGATTACGATTGTTAAGAATAACAATTTCAGATAAGGAAATTATGTAAGAGCACCATTGACATACTTACGTGGGTATGTTGTAGGTAAGCGGAATCAGAGTGTTAGATGAAACTCCTGTAACTGGCCCCATAAATGGGTGAACAGGAACAGCATATATGCCTGCTCCACGGTTCATCTGCTCCTGATCTTGTAAAGGATTTAACCCAGGAACAAGAAGTGGGTACATGATTGGTAACATCTGAAAATCACCATTTGGGAAAGATGGAAGCCCAGAGAGTGCTGGAACCTGAAAAAGAAGTCATAAAGTGAATTAGAAAAGGAACCAGAACCACCAAATTAATGCAAGATATGCACATAGTATTGCTTTAAACTACGATTAAAACATTCACAAGCTTTAGTCTGCATTACTTTCTTTTCATCAGGAAGCTTCCACATACCGTTACTATACAATTGCCTCTATTTCTCAAAAAACAATTTTATTAAGAATATGAAGTAGTGGCACAAACTCTTCCACAGCACAGGCATAACCAGTAGGAAAATGTAGAAAACATGCTCGCTACTCAGTCCTCTCTTTACACATTATTACTGCCTATGCATTTCCAGCCCTATTGATAAAAAGAAACAGTATGTTTTTAATAGTAACTGATACTACAAAGAGAAAGTTATAGCTTCAATAAGGTGAGGAAAGCATTCTTTTCAAATAAAAAGGAGGCAAAAGGATGAGATGGCAGCTTAAACAAACCCTGTCATCCAGATAAATGGTGGCCCTACATCCATTAACGATACTATTGATACGGAATACAAAATAAATTTTAGTGGTAGTGATATTCTCATCATGATGTTTTCTTTTTTATAGCAGTACAAATTATAGTTGCCTTACTATATGTTTATACACTTGTTTATGCTTCCACTTAACTATGAATTATGCTCCATACTAGGTTTTCAACTGCAAACAAATGATGCTATCAGGAAACGTGGATCATCGTTCCACCATCACTCCATTCTTTAAAATACCATATTAGCTTTCGATATAAAGAACTTTTGAAATTCAATGGTTTAATGTTCTGAAAAATGAAACATAAAGTTTGTGCCATTTCTCTCGAGCCTACGTGTAACTACTCAACAACAAAAGGAAAGGACACTTTTTTTTCTTCCCAAAGAATCAGAGCTCCGTTGTTCATGCAAGCCAGAAAATAAGGTTAAAATGAAAGTAGATACAAGCCAACTTTGACATGCACGAGTTGCGAACTCATATAATCAACAATTGGAAACTACAAATAGAGTCTCCAGAGTACATGGGTGAGTAAAGGCGAAGAAATTATTTCAACTACTGAACAGGACCATAATAAAAGATGCATTATGTGCAACAAAATTCTAAATTAAAAAAGAATTCAGGAAAACTCCGAAAGCAGTACTTCCAATTCCTATATGTAGAGGAACCTGTAAAATCCTTGTATTTAGCAAATAACAAATGAACGAAAAAACGATGGAATATTCTAATGTTTTCATAATTAGATTAGAACCCAGAATTTTATATATTAAACATACCCCCACCCGTCCCCAAGAACCATACTTTTGTAATGTCCTAACTACCCAGAGAAATGCAAATTCAAGCAATTTGTCAACATTTGGCCCCAACAAAATAAAAAATAAAAAATAAAAAATTGCCAATAAGATCCCCATTTGGGAACCCAATTTTTCTCAATCCTTAAAGACCTATGCAGCGATTTCGATACATATGCACAAGAACACTACACAAGCTCTGCGTGTTTCTATATACACCGAATAAACAGCGTAAATTAGCAAACAATTCATGTAAGAAAATTGCAAATTTGCAATATGCTAAGAAATCAAAGGCCGAGATTGAATTGAAGCTTAAAAACATCAATTTGTACGCCTTTTCTTTTTAAGGAAACATAAGTAACCCTAGGATTGAAAATCGTTTGTAACATTAGGAAACTCGGATTGGGAAATGAGAACCTGAGGTTTCTGGAGAATTTCTTCGGGCGATTTAGATGTAGAAGAAGGTTGCGAGCTGGACGACCACGTTTTGGGTTCTTCGGCCATTTATAAAGTCTGATCTGCCTCTCCTCTCTGTGTCTCTGTGTGTATCTCTCTCTCTGCTCTGCTCTGCTCTTTTCTTTATAATAAAACCATGTCGAGAGTGGGATTGTGCTTATTACGTGAAGTTCACCAATAAGGTTGTGCCAAGTCAGCCATGATATAAGTTGGGAACTTCGAATCTTCATTTTGAGTAAATAGACCAACTTTTTTTCTCTATTCTTTTGCATATATTTATTGGTGACTATTGATTTAGTGATATTTTTTATAGAATTCAAATCACATCTATATTGTTAATTAAAAATATATATATATATATATATAAATAAGTGTGAAAGTAAAAAGAGAAATGCTAGGCATATCATATTTTTATACGATCACAAATGAATGAGAATATGCGATTAGCGGGACTTGAAAGCTAAGGCATGCCAATGCAAAACATATATATGGGCATGAACAAACACGAACATGTTTCATTTCATGTCATGTGGCAAGGCATACATGATCAACTCGAATGCTTATAAAAGGTCAATTAATACCCAACTCAAGTGGAATAAAGAGGTATGCCATTATTCTATATATTCTATTACAATTTTATTTGGTCGAATTCTGATCTCATTAAATAAACCAAAAGCTCAAAAGTAAGACACAAAAAATTAGGTAGGAGCAGTTAGACCTCAAAGCTGAGTCCAGAACCAAGCTGCTCACCCAGACGAGTTCAAACAAAAACAACAATAAAAATATAAAACAAGGAAATGAGAAATGCCACATGTTATAAAAAGAAATGTAGTAAGTTAGACAATAATTCCCCATGTTCTATATTTATTGTGGTGTACCCGGAACATATACAAATTTCTCCATTCTAAGACCTGATGTTAAAAATTTGCATAACTGATGTTATGGCGTTGTTAAAAATTTCTCCATTTATCTGATGTTAAAAATTGTCCCATTCACAATTTATAATTACAATATAATATTAAATATATTCTTTTTTTATATTTTATTTGATATAATTGAAAAAAAAATTAAAAATTATTTTATATTATTATACAAACCAAACATGAGAAATGAAATAAAATGATATTTTCTCGTTACTTTCTCAACATTACTAAATATGGGAAATGAATCCTTTCGGAGAACCAAGTGGGCCTTAAGGTGGCTTGAGCAATCTCTCCAAAAGATTTGTACAGAAATGGACACCTAGATGAAAATATTAGGTCATCTTTTGAAGTGATTTTAACTTCTCTCCACCAAGATGAGATGAAATCTAGTATGGTAACATTACCATTGATTGATTGTAACCTCTGATGAGCATAAAGCATTCCAATAAAGAAATTTTTCTTCAAAAAAGGAGAAAAAAGGTAGAATTTCTTGTTGCCCATATCTCAACGCAAAATAGCACATAATTTATAGGCTGCCTAATTAATATACCGGGGTGTCATTATCCAACAAAAAAAGAGTTTAAATATTGGAAAAAGAAAATGTAAATAAAAATTATCATGTTCATTATTTTCCGAACATAAATATCCCCTTGAAATTAACTTTCACAATACTTTAAAGCCATCCATACCATGCACAAACTCATCCAACCCCCCTCAAATTCATGCTTTAACTTGTGCAAGACGAATTTATTCATACAAGAGAATAAAACATCTTCACTACAACATTCTCTCCATTTCAAAACACCAATTTCATATGACACTATATCATCTCTCCTCCACAACCTTCTCCACCACCCAAACCCCAAGACACCCTTGAGTCCCGCTCTGGCTCCACTTGTGTCAACTCCAGCTGAACAACCTAGAGGATAAGCTTCTTCACTTCTGCATACTCTGAATCAGAAGCACAAGGTAGAAGATTGATCTTATCTCCACAATACAACCAAATTGAGATTGAAGTGAACTTGCAATGATCTTCCTCGACTTTTACGCCTCAGATACATAACCAGGATGTCGGAATTCCAATTCAGCTATTGCTAGACCTAAAATTTTCCATTACTCAGTTAAAGACGCATGAGTGTAATCCATTTCTAGTAAAAACCTATTCATGATTCTAAAGACTATCACAGTCTACATGCAGGAAATTTCATCTAGCAAGTGCAAAATTAAGAATTTACAGTTGATGCAAACCATCCCCGAACAAAGCAGATACATGCAAATCGAATTTGCAGAGGTTTGACAGAAAGAAAAGAGAGAGAGAAAGGAGGATTCTGCAAACAGAATTTCCTCACCTACGAGAAAGCATTCAGATCGAAATGTTTGTTCAGAGAATAGTTGGAAGAGACAAAGGAGAGAGAGGAGAGACAAATAAGAGAGGAGATTATGAGAGCACCCTCAAGAAAGGGTCGTGTGTGCGTCACATTACCAAATGTGATGAAATTGGATAAAATTGATGTCAAGCATCACATTTCAACTTTTTGAAATTTCAAGGGGTACAACAGACATTTTTCTTAGGTGGCAAAGTAAACATTGACCAAAGTCACAAAGTATAAGCGTAGATAAAGATTTCCCTTAGTATGCTAGGCTCTTTACAGCCCAAATTTTCCTTTCTCAAGCTTTTAGATACTTAACAAAGCTAAGCGAGCTTGCCAGTTTCAACCCTGAAAAGATTAGAAAGAGCTGTTCGCAGACACAGACCCTCCAAACTGGGAAAATTGTGGCAAGCATGTAGCTATAGAAATTCAAATCTAAAATAGAAGAGAAAAATAAGGCACAATATGATACACATGAATATACAACGAGACTCTATACACAAAGATAATTTGTTCTGAGGAATCAAGCTATGACCATGTGGATACATACAACATTCCCACCATTTAATATTTCACTCCCTTTTGTTGTTGGATGTTATTATTCCGAACTATACAACTATAGAACACAATAATATAAATGCAGAAGATAATAATTACAATACATCAACGCAAACAAGTGGAGTTACCACCAAAATCCAACGGTCTAAACCTGAACAAGTTAAATCCATCACCTAAGATCCAATAACAACTATTTCGGTCATAACATGTGTGAAAAAACAGCAGTGGTGCTTGTCGAAAGTAAGGGAACTCACCCAAGCAACCAGGCTGCTAGAGAGATGAGCAATCCCTAATCATCCTCACAGCGAGATGGCTTCTGTGACTCAGTCAAAACCTTTACCTCCACCTCCACCTCTACTTCTGCTGATCCTTCTTCCTCCATATCCACCTCCCTTGTTTCTGTAGATCCACTCCCTGCAGCCAAGAAACATGTAACCAAAAGATTGACTCATTAAGAGCTAAAAGGTCTACTAAATAGCAATCTGCTTTTGTAGATTGAAAGATACATGACATTTAAAATCTGCAAGACATATGATAAAATAAGCAAGCAGCATTCATCTTACGTATTCAAAAGTACATCTTCAGATGTCGTTTCATGCCCTTCCAGAGTCAATTCTCCACAATCAATTAAGAAAATTCATAAATTGAGCAGAATGTAACCAAGTTTCTTTCATTCTTCAGTAGAAGACTGAATGTTTCGGATGCAAACTCTGGCTCGACGGATATAAAAAGCATTTAGCATTCCATCATGTCCCAATTATGTTTACCATTGAAGATAAAATTGAGGGTACCCAGAAACAAAAGCTCCCTTTAATTGCCACAAAACTAAAACTCCATTTCAAATTATAAAACCAACAATTCTATCATACCCATCAAGCTAAAAACTAAATAAAAACTTTGTCTATATACATAAAACATAAACAAAACCCGCCCCCCCTCCCTCCCTCCCTCCCTCCCTCTCCCCCCCCCAAAAAAAAAGACACACACACACACAAAACAAAACCCCTTTCAATTCCTTATGATTACCAACAATTCCATCAAACAAAATTGAATAAAAATATTTTCTAAATACATAAACCAAGAAAGAAAATAAAAAGAAAAATAAAAGAAAAAGCCCATACCATGAACGAAGAATTGAGAGCAAGGCCATCCTCGATCAGTGGCAACAGAGAGGGACTCTTCATCTGTGAGTTGGTCAGCCAATTTGCCAACCAAGTCAGTCACTTTCAAAGGGGCGCGTCGAGGTGGGACCCAGAATGAGGAGCCGGGAACGAATGGGAGCCAATCGGGAGTGGCCCTCTGGACGAGGATGGTCTGAACGATGTCGTCTAGCTTCTTTAGCATTAATTTCTCCGAATCATTCGCCAGCGATGACGACGACGACGACGAGGTGGACGGGTCAAGGTCGATCTCTATCAACTGGGCCTTGCCGGATCGGGTCGAGCGGGCCCGATGGGCCTGCGTCAGGGAGGGCGGGACCCGAGGGCGGTGCAGGAGAGAGTGGCGGAGTTGCAGAGTTTGAGTGAGGAGGCGGGCCATTTTGGACTGTAAAGAAGTGTGCAGAGAGAGAGAGAGAGAGAGAGGGAGAGAGGGAGAGAGAGAGAGATTTAGAGAGAGAGGAGAAGATATTATGGAAGGGTGGAGGGGATGATGGTTGCTTGAGTTGGGGGTTCAGGTTCGGTGCGGTGGCCTGGCACGTGGTGAGAAGGAGGTGTTATCGTGTAAGAGTACAGTTGGCCGCCTCCTCTCATTCTTTTCTTGTCATTTTCTTTTTAATTTTCTCTTTTTAAAACATTGAATCTATATATATATATATATATATATATATATAGATATAAAGCATCTATATATAGAGCAAAAGCCAGATAATTGTGAAACATTCAAAAACTCCGAATATACCCTTGGTTAACTAAAATACTAAAGCACATGATTTATATTAAATATGGATAAAATGGTAAAGCAACACCCAATTAACAAAATAGAAAAAAGGAAAAAAAAGAAAAATGAAGACGACGTGCTGGGAGTTGAGAACCCACAAAGAGGGGAAAACCCATCGTGCGACTGAAAACCGCCAGCCCATGCGTGCAATGTATATATATATTTTCTTCAGTTACAGCTGCTCACTTAGCATACAAAAACGGAATGGATATCTGGGATCTCATTCCTGTTTCCTATTTCAAATTTTCGGTTCCACTTTCCCCTCACTAGCTATCAACAAATGCTCTCTTTTAAAACCTACATGGAAAAGGACAATGTTGAAATCCAGAAGCAACTTGTGATAAGGCATGGAAGGTAAAAGCATTTTACCAAGGGGACTTGAGTCATCTTTAAAATTGGAAATTTGGAGAATGTGTCCTCTTTGAGAATAGTTTAGAAGCTCTTCTCTAAATGTAGGATCACCCTCTCTCAATGTTGTATGAATAACTATCAATGTCTTTATGGCAACCTGCAGATTTTGTCAACTTGTCATTAGGTAAGTGATTTGCTACATTGAAGGAACCAAGTCATAACATGTTTGCAACTGCATTATCACATCAGTTCTTTTGAGCTTGTTTTCATGCTAACTTTTTGCAACTGCTACAAACCAATTCGTATCAGTTATATGAATTCGAAGCCTCCTGGACCTTGAGCCAAATTTACAGATTGTTTCAATTAAGAAAAACACTATGATACGAAGAAGAAGAAGAAGAAGAAGAAGAAGAATTAAGGACAAAGCAAAACTGATTCCCAGCCTCCAAGTTATTGTTTTAAGCATTTGTTAGTTCAGTTTGTTGTGTGACAAAGCAAAACTGTTAGATACACAAGTTAGAATTTCATGTATCACTTTGAGTATTCATGTATTTACTTCATTTTTTCCCTCCAAAGGATTCAAATATTGTTCAGTTAATTCTTATCTTCATTATTGTAGTTCACATTTCATTATAAATTTAAAATAAAATAAAATAATATATATTTATAAATAATAAAATAAATAAAAAAAATAAAAAAACCATGCTCAGTGGCACATCATTAAACTTTTGTTCAATGCAATTGATATAGGCGATTGACATTTTACAGATTACAGGATTCAAACACACTTCCTGGAAGCAGCGAGTCAATCAAGTAACTCTTGTGTTTAATGGGGGCTACACCTTCTCAGAGCACCTACCCTGCAGGAACTAGCAAAACCTATTGCTCCTATTGCTCGAAGACACTCCTTTTCCTTCTTCTTGTTCATAATCTCTAAGCCTATATTAAGGTGAGATGAAACTATGAAAAATCGAAAAAGTTGTTAATAATCTCTCAGCCTATATTTAGTTTTGTAGGTTTTGCAAGGCATTGCAAACATGTTTGAGTTCCCATATTGGAAGATTAGAGTTCCTTTGAAGTCCTTATCAGACTTACTCTTGGAAATGGAATAGTTTGTATAGGCTATGTAAGTGGCCCAATTCAGTGGCTTGTGGGTATGGACATTGGTTAAATGCCTAATTAGTTGGATCAATAGTTAATTAATATATTTAATTAATCAAAATATGGGCCTTGGGCCTTGGGGCTCTTGGGCTCAACGATTTAAATAAAAAGAGTAGTTATCCATTACTATTAGGTCATTACCCGAGTCTCTATTGTCCCATTTATTTTACAAATTTATAAATAAACCCAATCCTAGACATGTATTTATAAAAAAACCTAAGCACTATTTAAACATAGAAACACACCCAAAATCAACAACTGTATATTTTTTGGGTGTGTTTATAAATGAGTTTTGAGTGTGTGTAATAATGGGTTTTGGGTGTGTTTATAAAGTGTTTTGGGTGTTGGGTTTTTTTATAATTTCAATCCCCATTTTGGGTGTTTTAGTGAAACTCCCTTAAATTTTTTACTTTTCTAGAGTTTATAAAGAATTTAGCACTTCCAAGTTTAATACTCTATTATACACATACGTACGTATTTTTCAATAATACATTCGTGTTCTATACACGTCTCACGTTTTTTAAAAAGAAAATGTGGTTGTACATATACATATGTATTTCTAACGTTTAATACACGTATTCTTTACAAAATTTGTAGTAAGACACACAAAATTCATGTATTATACAAATAATTCTCACATACTATTGAATAAGAATAATACATGTTATAAAAATTATATTACAATATTATATAGTGGACGATTAATATCTACCTTGGATATGTTGAAACTAGCAAATTAATATGTATAAAGTACAAACTAATGCAATTAGTCGGGTCCTTTTTTTTTAATTTTGTATTCATTAAATAGTGTAGCCGTGCGGCTGTACCTTTGATTATAATGCATTTAAATAGTATAGCCGACTGGCTATACTACGAACTGTTAAAAAAAAATTGACACGTGGCGCAAGAGGGCTCCCTTCAAAAATAAAAAACAGTACAGTCGAACGGCTATACTCTGTTTTTTTGTTTAAAATAAAGCAGTTTTGACACGCGGCTGCTAATTGGTGGGGGACCTTGTATTATAAAAATACTATAGCCGAACGGCTATACTATATTACACGTGGGCAACAAAGGGCTGTAGGTCTGTACTCTTTTTTATAAACAGGAAATTTTTTTTTAAAAATTGTCTTCAATACGTAATATAGACTAGTGGCTGCAGTCTTTTATATATATATATATATATATATATATATTTATAGAACAAGAATTTAGCACTTTCAATTTTAATACTCTATTATACACATACATAGGTCTTGTTCAATAATACATTCGTGTTCTATACACGTCTTACGTTTTTTAAAATAAAAATGTGGTTGTGCATATACATACGTATTTCTAAAGTTTAATACACATATTCTTTACAAAATTTGTAGTAAGACACACAAAATTCACGTATTATACAAATAATTCTCACATACTATTGAATAAGAATAATACATGTTATAAAAATTATATTACAATATTACATAGTGGACGATTAATATCTATCTTGGATATGTTGAAACTGGCAAATTAATATGTATAAAGTACAAACTAATGCAATTAGGAGGGTCCTTTTTTCTTAATTTTGTATTCGTTAAATAGTGTAGCCGTGCGGCTGTACCTTTGAATATAATGCATTCAAATAGTATAGCCGGATGGATATACTACTGAAAAAAAAAAAAAAAAAAAAAAAAAAAAAAAAAAAAAAAAGTGGCACGTGGCAAGAGAGGTCCCCTTTAAAAGTAAAAAATCGTACATCCGCACGGCTATACTCTGTTTAAAAAAAATAAAATAAAATAGAGCAGTTTTGACACGTGGCTACTAATTGGTGGGGGACCTTGTTTCTGCGCGATAAAGGAAAATTTTTAAGGCGACGATTTATCACATGCACACAATTAAAATATGAAATTGTTGAAACGGACATCTATGCGAAACTTTGTAAGTTGCGTGTAGCGCGTGTGATTAAAAAAAGGCCTCTCACACTTGCTTCCGCGCGTGCAGGGAGGCTAGTATCTATATATCTATATATATAAAGCAAAAGGCAGAGAATGGTGAAACATTCAAAAACTCCAAATATGCCCTTGGTTAATTCAAACATTAAGAATTGAAACTGTTGAAACGGACATCCATCTTAGCAGTTTACATGCTACAAAAGAAAAAAAAAAAAGCTAAGATGGACGTCTACAAAAATATGGGCCATAAAGGAAAACTTCTAAGATGATGATGTATCACACACATTGGATTAAAATATGAAATTGTTGAAACGGACATCTATATAAATACAATTGTGATAAATCCTTGATGTATTGAACTCTTTGCATCACTAAGCAAAACATGAGGAGACGTCTAAGATGGGTGTTGAGGAGATGGTGATGATGAGGACGTAGCTACCTTTTGCTAGTAATATGAACTTCCTCATACCAACCAAATTTCCTATCAAATTGTTGTCACCATACAAAACTAATGGGCGCTTCTCCATTGTGAACTCCCACAATGCGGATTTGTTACGAAGTTGAATTTTTGACCGTGCGATTGATTTGAACGGCTCACATCTATTCTTCCTCTTCCTGAGTTCACTCCTCTCTCCTCTCTCCTCTTTCTTTTTTTATTCTTCTTTTTCTTTCCTTTCCTTTCCTTCTCTCTTCTCTCTCCCTTCTCCCTTTCCTTCTCTCTTTTTTCCTTCTTTCTCTCCCCCAATTTTCTTCTCTCTTGTCATCTGGCGATTTTTTTTTTCTTCTTCTCTCTTCTGGCTAGTTGGCTCTTTTTTTTCCTTTATCTCCAGCAACACTAATTGTCACAGACCCATTTGCTCCCTCCTCCCCTCTGTTTTTTGGTCAATCTAGCTGCTGTGAGTGAATCAAAGAGGGTAGAATTTGAGATTGCTTCCTTGATATCTAGAGTAAATACAGTGGTCTGCATGTAGGAAAGAATATGAGATTGCTTCCTTGATTTCTGTTGATGGCAGAATTATAGGAGAGGACTTCGTGGTATTCTTTTTATTACGGGACTTCTCTCTTCAGATAGCAATAGCAAAAATTAGTGTTGCTGGAGATAAAGGAAAAAAAGAGCCGACTAGCTAGAAGAGAGAAGAAGGAAAAAAAAAGCCAGATGACAAGAGAGAAGAAAACAGGAGGAGAGAAAGAAGGAAAAAAGAGAGAAGGAAAGGAAAGAAAAAAGAAGAATAAAAAAAGAAAGAGGAGAGAGGAGAGAGGAGTGAACTCAGGAAGAGGAAGAATAGATGTGAGCCGTTCAAATCAATCGCACGGTGTGAGAGTCCATTTTCTTTATAGTTGTTTTACTTTTATAATACCATTTCAATAGTTATATATTATTCTATTATATACATATGTTCTTTCAAAAAAAAAAAAAAAAAAAAAAAAAGAATTAGGGTTTTAATTATATATTTGTTCATTATTCCTTGGATGCTATTAGATGGTTATTGGGTGCTTTATATACATATATATTAATAACATGGATTAAGAGTTTAGACGTGGCATTCTTACATTGTTTTCTTGGAGAGAAAGATTGTTCTCTCTTATCTTAATTTGGAGATATATTTAAATTAGTAAGCTAGAGGTGGCTTTTTCCATTAAATTAGTTGATGCATTACCATGCATTTGGACAGCTCATGCTTACAATTTGGTGACTAGGCTTTATCTTAGCTTGAGGAGGAGTTTATAAGTTCAACAGGTGGCATGGCCTTTGGAAATATATCTCCTGGCGTTGGCACATATCAGCTTCTATAAAAGAGTGGCAACCAAGTTATCTTTTTGTATAAGATAAGATAGTGGCTTTAGTTATTATCCTCTCGATTATTACCGCCATCTCACCGCCTATAAATAGGAGTGTTAATAAGGAAGAGATATCATGCAACGTGAGAGAGAGAGAGAGAGAGAGAGAGAGAGAGAGAGAGGAGAGAGAGAGAGAGAGAGAGAGAGAGAGAGAGAGAGAGAGAGAGAGAGAGAGAGAGAGAGAGTGTGTGTGTGTGTGTGTGTGTTGATGATGGTGAAATTCTTGGAAGAGATATAAGGCTTAGCTTGTATTTTCTTAAATTGGAGCAATGCTTTGGAAACGAGGTAGGGATTTCTTGGGAGCCTTTACAGAAGATTGATTTAATTAAATTTCGTGAACTCTATATTATGTGTGATATTGTATAATGTTCTTGATATGAGATATTTATGTATTGTGAACTATTTGAATAATGTTGGCATAATTATATCATGTCATGGTAATTGGTTGGAGTTGTTGGGTGGAGAAGATAATAATGGAAAAGAGGGTAATGGAAATAGTCTTTTGTGTAGTTGAGTCTAACTCTTGGCAGGTACCAGGTCTCAGGGATCCCACAGTGCACATGGTTTTTATTGGGTGATTCGGGACTGGCGAAAGGGAGTTAGACAAGATGACTAACAAAAGGGGAATTATGGGATTATTGAAATGGGTGTTAGTTCATATAAATGGGCATTCGGGACCAAGTGGTATAAGCATGGTATGGGATGTGCAGGTCTGCTTGTCCAATTATATGAATTAACGGGATTAGAATTGAAGAGCATTCATGTATTATTATTATTATTATTATTATTAATGTGATATTTGGCTGTGTGATTGCTTGTCACTTAATTTAGTTATATCAATCTACTGTGGTAAGGTCTCATGTCCCTACTGAGCTGTGGTTGTTCATCCTTCACCCTGTTTAAATTTTCAGATGAATTAGTAGGCAAGAAAAGGAATAAACCAATTGAGGCTGAATTAGATGAGAGTGTTAGAGCTTTATTTATTGTAAAGTTGTAAGTTTTTGGATGTATTTTTATAAGAGAAGTTTATTTTAAACTCATGTTTCGACATCTTTTTATTTTATTTCTTTTTATTTTATTTTATTTTTTATTTTATTTTCTCACGCACCGGGCACGGGATTTCCACCTACCCCCGGGTCTGGGGCGTGACACACGGTCAAAAATTCAACTTCGTAACAAATCCGCATTGTGGGAGTTCGCAATGGAGAAGCGCCCCAAAACTAATATCAACTAATGAAAACAGGAATAGTGGCTGAATTTATGTTCTATTGCCAAATTACATACCAAATGGATGCTTGTTAATAAAAGAGAGTAAGAAATCTGAGTGTCAGTGAGAAGAAATTCTGTCAGTGTAAACACCACAAAGAATAAATATAATTATACTCCCAATATTCAGTGGTACTTCCCATACTCTAATTATTTTAAATTTTATAACATTGAGTTAGTTCTTGACATTTTATAACTTTTTACTTCCTTTTTGTGTTTTCATAGATTTTACCTTGGTTAGAATGAAAATGAGCTAAAAATGCATTATTCGTTATAAATTCTGTTTTTGTTCATTTTCGTAGGTCAACTTCTTGGCCTCGGATCAGCATGGTCTGGTGCTCGGATGAGGTGAAAATCTCATGAAACTTGTTCCAATGGATGTTGACTACAACATATCCGAATTTGAGCTCCATTTAACAAGTATAGCCTATCCAATTGATCCAGAATTTTACCATAGCTCTAGGGATTTGTCTTGGGCCAGTTTTTACCTCCATGATGTCATCTTGATTCTTCTTGTTACCATACCATTTGGTAACAAGAACTTACTTTGATGGAGTGCAATTTTTCTGAGACAAAAGTATCTTTGTGAAGACAAACCAAAAATCCCATGATGACATAAAAAAGAAAAAAGAAAAAAGAAAAAAGAAAAAAGAAAAAAGAAAAAAGAAAAAAGAAAAAAGAAAAAAGAAAAAAGAATGAATATGTTATTGATGGGTGAGTTGGAAAGGAGGAGAGAGAGGGGAGCATAGAGAAGGCATTAGCCATTCTTTGAACCATTATTCCTTTTTGCAGAGAATTGAGCAGAGATTGGAGCTAGAGATATAGAGGAGGAAGACAAGGTGCAGCTAAGCAAGAAGTGGAAGAAGATTTCCACCATTGAAGACCTTAAGCTTCCATCACTTTCACAAAATCTGTAAACTCTTTCTTTTTTTTTTTTTTTTTTTTTTTTTTTTTTGATTTTGAATTTTTTTGAAGAAATGAAATAAGTATGAGAACTAAACTCCATACCCAGGGCTTAGGTTGAAGCCCTAAACATGAATACTCTATTGTTTTGATGCTTGAGTGTATGAATTTCTAGATGTTGTTGATGAATTTCCATTCACTAAAATAATATATCCTTGATGTATGTTTTTCTTTGATTGATCACCTTTGAAAGCATGCTTCTTGAGGTTGTTGGGATTATATGTACCCTCATGTCTTCCTAAGCAACAAATGGATGAAGTAAGAATCATCCATGTGAAATGGTTTCTTGAATGCCTAATGTAAACATCATACTATTAGGATTCTTGTGATGTTCATATTCTCTTTGAACTTAATGGGTTTTTCTTGTAATTAAATTGAAGTACTAAGCACACCTAGATTGATTATAAGGAAGGCACGAGTATTGTAGCATTAGCCCTGCACTCTACTTATATTATAGAGAATCAATGCGTCTTGAGCCACTAGACCTAGTCTTAATTGAGCACATCTTCATCAACACATTTAGAGTTCATCACTTGAGTGTCCATGAACATGGGTATGATTGTTTAGGGTGGATTCCGAAACCCTAGTGTTTGTTACATATTAATTTCACACTTTGATTTTCATCTATGTCATTCTTGTTAAAATTAGAGTTCGATTACATTCAAGCATTAGAATTAGGTCACTTGAATCAAATCAAACCACCCACCCCCCCCCCCCCCCCCCCCCCCCCCCCCCCCCCCAAAAATTCGTGTGTGTTGTGTTTGAAACATTATGTGTTTTCTTCACTGAATTCTGCTTACTTCCGTAATTGTTCTTTACATTTGGTCCATGTTGTGCTCTTTGTTTTTCTGTGTTGAATCCAACCATAAAAATAACGTGAAATTTGGACAAACGGTTGGAAAGTTATAGGTCAAAAACTGGATAGAGGTTGAAGCTGAAAACAGAGAAAACACAGTCTGCCCAAAAACGACCAATCGCTATTGTTCATGCGACCAGTCGCAACCCAATCTGCCCAAAAATGGCCGGTCACTACTGTTCATGTGACCGGTCGCGCACTGTTTACGGCACTGTTCATAGGTGATACAATGGTGATAAAAGGGCGATAGAACAAGTTTCATTTCTTTTACCTTTCTTGTTTTGTTTCATTTCTTTTACCTTTCTTTACTCATTCTTAGCTTCCAATTTGTATTTTACATTTGTGTTGTGTTAAATAAGTGTTCTTTACGTACTCAAATTAGAACTTTTAATAAGCCGACAGTTCCTCGTGGGATCGACCCCATACTTACAAAATCTATACCTCAATAGATTCGTGCACTTGCGTGTATTTTTAATTGGATGATTGCTCATTAATTTGTGTCAATTATTAATACAACAACTAGTATATTATATAATAAGTCTACACACTCCACCATAAAATCAGTAGGAAATAAAACGGCATGCCTTCCTCTACATTGTCTAAATTAAAGACTGAAATTGAATTAAATAAAAGTGCATGAAATACATGTCATAAGATAGGACCCATTAATTGAAGCGTTGTTGAACAAGATGACGGTTTAACAACACACCTCTTCTTGTAGTATCGTCCTTCAAAAACTTTGTCTTGATTTTGTTGAGTGTGGCTATAGCTTCTTTCATACTTATCCTCTCTTCTGGTGATTCTGCACAGCAAGTAAGAGCTAATCTCATAATGGCTGATATGCAATCCCTCTTCCTCACATGATTATCATCTTCCCGCTCTGTCCCAATCCCAAGCAAATTGGCATCCACAACTTCATCTATGATTCCACTTGGTAATACTAGTGAGTCTGCAATCCATTGCTTTAAATTCATTTCCCCAACAAACATCTCATCTGTTGGCTTCCTTCTTGTGAATGTTTCCATGAGCACAATACCAAAACTATACACATCCCCCCTTGTTGAAACTATTCCTTCCATTCCATACTCTGCAATATGAATTATATTTGAGTTGTACTTATATATATCTAAATTATATTCATATCATATGTATGATGAAAAGACCATTTTAAGTTAGGTTGTTCGTAATTGAAAGATATTAAATTAGAAAGTACATACCTGGAGCCATATACCCAATTGTGGCTAGGGTCATGGTTTGGGTAATCGAATCTCCTCCACCCAAGAGTTTTGCAATTCCAAAATCAGCAACATGTGCAACCATATCATCATCAAGTAGTATATTGTTGGGCTTCATATCACAGTGCACAATAGGTATTGAATAACCATGGTGTAGGTATTCCACTGCCGCTGCAACGTCTATCATTATGTTCAATCTCTGTAAGATATTCAAAGAATAGTTTTGAGAATATAACCACTTGTCTAGGCTCCCATTAGGCATGTAGTTCAGTACCAAGGCTTTGAAATCAAGTTCACTGCAACAGCTGATGATTTTGATAAGGTTTCTATGACGAATATTGCTTAGCATTTCACATTCCCTATCAAAACTCTTGAAAGCCCCTTCTAGCTGTAAACTGAAAACCTTTACTGCAACATCTATTCCATCTGAAAGCGTCCCTTTATATACTAAGCCAAAACCCCCACTTCCGAGTAAGTTGTTTTCGCTAAATCCATTCGTGGCTCTTAGAAGTTCTAGGTGTGAAATTCTTCTCCAAAAAAGTTGAGGCAATGAGGTAGCCTCTCCCGTAACTTCCACATTTCTTTTCCTACGTAGTACAAATATAAATATGGATGCCACTAGGAGAATTACTGATATGATCCCTGGGATGATATATTTAGCTTTCTTCCAATTTGGTTCAAGTGAAGTATTGTTGCATGGTGGAACATGAAGTCGAGGTGCACCACAGAGTGCGCTGTTTGAGACAAATGATTGAGCAGAGAAGTTTTGGAATGGTCCACCTGTTGGAATTTCTCCTTGGAGCCTGTTGAAAGACAAATCCAGATACTTGAGAAGTGACAGAGCTTCTAAAGACTTGGGAATCACTCCAGATAGATTGTTTCTAGATAAATTCAGGAGTTGCAGGCTTAGCAAGTCGTGAAATGAACTTGGAATAGGACCTTCCAAATTATTATTTGCTAAAGAGAGATTAACTAGATCTCGAAGACCACCAATGGTGCTTGGTATAACACCAGATAAATGGTTATTTGATAAATCTACCTCTAAGACAACTTTCAAGTTTCCAATATCTTGTGAGAGAGGTCCAATTAGAGAATTGGATGATAAGTTTACATCCAAGATATAGGCAAGTCTCCAAAAAGTAGATGGTATTGTGAAACTCAACGAATTGGACTCTAGTGATAGAGTTCTTAGAGATGCAGCTAGATTACCCAAGCAGGAAGGTATAGAACCAGAGAGTTGATTACTACCCAAACTTAATTCAACTAGGTTATCTAGTTGACAAAGCTTATATGGGATGTGGCCTTGCAAATTGTTACCATCCAAATACAAACCTTGGAGATTCCCTAGTCTTCCCAGTGAAGTTGGAATTGATCCACTCAATTGATTGTCTCCCAAGGATAAGAATATCAAGCTACTGAAGTTGGCAATACCAATGGGAATGTTGCCCCTCATGCTGCATTCTCTTAACCGAATATATTGAAGCGACGACGTAGAGATATTCCGAAAGGAGTCATCGAGTGTGACATTTAACGGATTATTTCCCAAGTATAGCTCTGTCAAATTTCCAAGATTAGCCAAACAAGAGAGAGCGTTTGCTTCTGGAGTCGAAGTATCAATCGTCAAATTATTATTTTGTAAATCAAGCCGCTGAAGGTTTAAGGCACATAGCGTGCTAGGAATAAACCCTGTAAATGTGTTTTCACCCAATGAAAGCCACGTGAGCATAGAAGCATTGGAGAGGTTGGGGATTACTCCGCTGAGGTCATTTGCTATTATATAAAGGTGTTGTAGGTTTGGAACCCCAAGGCCTATGTTTGCTGGGAGGCTACCCGATAACTGATTCCGACTAAGCGACATTTCTCTTATTGTGGAGATATTGAAGATTGAGGATGGGATGAGACCATTGAAATTGTTATATCTGAGTGACAAACTCACTAAATTTTGAAGATCACCGATCTCATCTGGTATAGTGCCTGCCACAATTTCACAAATGTTGTAGCATTAGCATTAGTTGAAAAGAATATTGACTTGGATAGAAACACCAATTCAATCTATTTTATTCTATCGTGGAGATATTGAAGATTGAGGATGGGATGAGGCCATTCATATTATTACCACCGACTGAAAAAGACTCTAAATTTTAAAGATCACCCATCTCATCTGGTATAGTTCCTGCCACAATGTCACAACCATTGCATGTTTAACTTTGTATGGATTTATGTAATCTAATCTAACGCTATCTACTCGTTCATGACCTTTAGTATTAAATGTCACACTCATAATCATATTAATTAAAACAACAATATTTACATGGAAATCTCTAAAAGTTTTGTGTTTGAACCAAATTAAGAATCGGGCCATAATTTGGGGATGAAAATATATGGTTTACAAAATGTCATATTCCCTTGAGCAAAACACGTTTTTGTTTGCATGTCTTTATAACTCTTCTACTTTTTTATTCTTCTTACTTTGGTTAACCTTAGATTTGAACATATTGACTTAGATATAACGTTTATTAGGCAAGTCAATATGTTATATTCATTATTGTAAACCTTGCTATTTGATTCTAATTTGACAAAAAAAATTGTTATATTCATGATTAACTATCTCCCTCATTTCCTAAAATATGAAATTTAAATAACGATAAATTATGCAACCAAAATAAAAAAGATAAATCACAATTGGATCAACATAAAGAAATATCAATTACCCGTCAAATTGTTGTTGGCAAGGTATATCTCCTCAATCATTGTTAAGTTCCTGATATTTTTTGGTATGCTTCCACTGAAATTATTTTCCTCCAAATTAAGTATAAGAAGCTCCCTGCATTGCCATAATTTTGATGGAAGTGGACCATCAAACTGGTTGCGACCCAAATTCAAGATTTGAAGACTAGGAAGATGTTGGCATATATTGTCTGGAAGACCACCACTCAAGTTGTTTCCATATAGAATCAACATATTCAAAGAAGACATGTTGAAAACAACCACAGGAACAGGGCCTTTTAGGGCATTGTTTTGTACAAACAACCCTTCCACATGATGTAAAAAGCCAATCTCTTTTGGAATTTCTGAAAAATTATTAAGATATATGCACATTTATATGTTAAATTCATGTTTTATGCACATATAATGCATTGCAACAAAAGTGGAATCATATATAACTATATCACATCAAGGCAATGCAACAAATTAATATATATACCATTGAAATTGTTGGAGTCAAGGTATATCCCCTTCAACATTGTTAAGTTCCCTATTTCTTTGGGTATCGCACCTGTTAAGTATGCCAAACAAAGACTTAGAATACATGTAAATAAATAAAATTAGAAAAAACACCACTACATAATTTATAGAAAAGCTGTTAGAGTGGCTATTTTGGAGGGAAAAAAAAACTCTCAACTAGTCACTTGGTCACTTTCTAATTGGTTTATTAGTATGTTACAATTTTTTCACTTGAAGGTACAATATGAAAATTTTCTATAGTATTAGATTTGAAGGGTGTTTTTGTGGGGGCCTTTTTGTTCCAGCAGTTCTAAATGAACTTGGGCCGCTATAAAGAGAAAGTGATGTTGCCCCTTTGTTTGGGTTCAAGAACTAGGCCTCAAAATACCCCGAAAGAATGAGGATTCTTAGGAAATACTCTAGTTTTTCTCACCAAGCAGATAATGATCAGTGAGTCAAAAGTTTAGATTTGGCATGAGAGGCTTGTGGCGTGGGAGCTAAGTCTCCATGAATTTAGCGAGAGAGCGTTTGCTTAAGTTGAAATAAGGTTTTGGATGAAGGCTATTTTAAGGCTTCGAATGGTTTTCTTGTTTCTGTGAAAAAGGTAGAGGATAGTTTGTGGAAAAAGGACATGATGGAAGAGTTAAACTTGAGTGTTTCCAGCAGTGAGACTATGGCTTGCTCATATAATGCACTGCAACAAAAGCTAAGTCATATATCACCAGATCCCATCAAGGCAAGGTAATGCAACAAACATACCGTTGAATTTGTTGGAGTCAAGGTATATCTCCTTCAACATTGTTAAGTTCCTTATTTCTTTTGGTATCCCACCTGTTAAACAAGGACTCATAATACATTTAAATAAAGGAAATTAGAAAAACACACCATGACAACTACATAATTTATAGAAAAACTCTTAAAGAGCCTATATGGAGAAAAAAGCCCTGAAATAGCCACTTGTCCATTTCTAATTAGTTCTCAATATATTACAATTTTTTCATTTGGAGTTTTTCTAAAGTATTGGATTTAAAGGGGGTATTTTTTTAATAAATAAAATGTCCAGTTATAATGTGCCAATATGTGAAAAGCCCTTAGATAATATTCACCATATATCATTCATTATTTACAATCTATATCATTATTCCCCAACGGCCAACAAGTTTTTATCATTTGTAGCCTACAGCAGGTAGTCCCTAGTTTCATAAATGCTATATAAAAACTTTTGAGTATAGCAAAAAATAAACATGAATAGACTCAACCACCCTTAAAATTAAAAATCAAATACATAAATCTATTCAAGTGTGAGTTTTTTAGTATTAGATGGCTTGCAAGTAAGAAAAAATTAACCTAATTTTCTAAAGAAAAAAGGACACATTGGGCTTATAAATTAATAACAAGATGTTAAAACATAATAGTAGATCACTAATAGAGTCTAGATAAATTGTTGACGCATATGTACCTGATAGTTTGTTAGCCCCTAGATCAAGTACTTGCAATGTAGATAAGTTGAAAATAGTCGTGGGTATGGAACCTGAAAACTGATTGCCATACAAATAAAAGTTTTGAAGTTTGGAGAAGGACCCAAACCACAATGGAATGGATCCCATAAAATTGTTGGATATGAAGCTAATCAACTTCAGCCGACGCAAATAAGACAGTTCCTTGGGCAGGGTGCCATGGAAGCTGTTGTTTCTTAAGTCCAGCTCAACAAGAAATGAGAGGTTGCCGAGGGGTGGAGGAATGGTGCCGGAGAGTCCCATGTAAGAGAGGTTCAAGACAGAAACTCTGAGGTGGCGAGCGCCACAAGTAACTCCAACCCAATTGCAAACAGAGGTGGTGGTTGACCAGTTGACCAAGATGTTGTGAGGGTCACTAGTGATATGGGATTTGAGAGCAAGAAGAGCAGACTGGTCCATGGTGATGTTGGTTTGTGCTGCACCTATTGTGCCTAGAGAACTGTACTGCAGCTGCAGCACCAGCAAGAAGGTGATTGACTAGAGGAAACATCTTCTCTCCATGACCATGAGCACCGAAAACAGAGAAGTTCCTTCCAACTTCAAATTGTTTTTCATTTGTTTTTTCCTTTCCGATTTAGAATTTGAAATCATTGAATAATTTGTTGCAGTGCCAATCTATGAAGGTAGAACAAGGTGCCAGAGAGTGGGGCACGTATTGCACCATGGGAAGAAGAAATTCGCGAGTAGCCAAATTCAACTGGTCCATCATTGCAACGACTTGGACATGTATTAAAGGAAGAATGGACAATTAGGCATCTGTTTCCTTTTCCACACATCTGTCTTCACAAATGTGCAAGAACTTGCGATACATACGTCTCTATATATTCCATCAATCAGATATGGAGGGTCAACCCAGTCTCCACGACATATTTATTAGCAAGTTGTTGTACATTTTTAGGCCAATTTCTTCTGCATGCTGTTATAAACACCCACCCCAAAAAAAAAAAACAAACAAAAAAAAATTTTAAACAATGGTTAACTTTTAAGTGTTTTCACTTTTAACCTTATCTCTTGAAAAATTCGCCTATTCATTTCACCATCCTTTTATTTTTCTTTATATTCAATCGGATTTCATGAAAGGTTGAACGATGATGAAATATTAGTCAATGCGATAAACTATAATTGTCTGAAAGTTAAATTGCAATTATTTTCTTTTATTCTGTTTTTTGTTAATTTGGCAGTGGCTCCAGGAAAATTAAGAAATGCATGGTAGAATTATACCATTTCAATTTAAAACATTACAAGAGTTAGATATCTGGCTATTTATTTCTCAATTATTCAATTATTTGCCAAGAGTTTTGTTTTATTTTGTTGTGTTTTTTTACAAAAATATATTCTAACTCTAATGTATAAGAAGGGGATCAAACTTGAATGTAAAGGGATCAACTCATTGCTTCAATCAACTGATCTGAACTACACATGCAATTATTGTTGGCGTGACTTGTGGACCAGTGACTTACTTTCATTTCACACCAAGAATTCCTATTATAATTCTAATTGATTTACTTTAATTCATGATTTCCTACTGTAAATAGAAATAAGAATTTATTATTTACATGCACATTAAAGTTCCGTTGTATTATAAATATGACCTCCTACAAGAAGAAGAATACACAAAAAATTCTCACATACATATATGAAAGCAGTGCCAATATATATAAAGGCAGAACAAGTTGCCAAAGAGTGGGGCACATGATTGCACCATGGGGGAATAAATGCAACGACTTTGACTTGTAATAAAGGAAGAATGGAGAATTGGCAACAAATGTGCAAGAACTTACATATGGTCAATCTAGTCTCCTTCGCATAATAAGAGCCCTTGTTGAAACTATTCCTTCCATCCCATACTGTGCAAATGTGGAATTGTCGTCTACAGATACATCCATACATAGAACGGAAGTCAGTCAACTCAACTACCATCATGATAGCGAAAGAAAGAAGAGTGGGATACATGATAGCACGCTCGTGGACTAAACTGGCAAGCAGTTAATTTCAGTGCGGGGCACCACACTTCCCGGACTTGACTTGTGATAAAGGAACAATGGAGAAGAATGGAGCAACGACTTGACTTATAAGACAAGGCAATGGCTGTTACTATTCATGTGAATAGTGACAGCCCTTTTAAAAAGCTTGTGGTGTTTCCATCCATTGTCATGGCAATTGAAGGGCAACCACTATTCACATGAGATATGAGGAGATGAATTTGTATAGAGTTTTGATGTGAGAAGTGAAGAATATGACTAAGTATTTATTTTAAATTATTATGAAATTTTTAGTTTAAAAATTTTTTTTTTTCATTGCTAACGTCAGCAAACCCAGGCTATTTTTGCCTTCGGGTCTGCCTAGCCTTGTGGAGCCCACCAGCTGCCCGAGCTGCTGAAGCCCGCTGGAACATCAAACTGAGGCTTGGGCCCCCTGTTGCAAAGAGAATGGAGCACTTTTTGCTACAATAACCATCAAGGTGGTGTTCGGCTGTGTGGGTTGAGGCTAGGTGGTCGCCGTGATTGTTGGGTTTTGGTTGAGGTTGGCGTGACAATGATGATGGAGCTAGGAGGGTTGGGATTATGGGTAATGGCTTATAAAACCCAGTTAATAAGCATGCCCCGTATTGGAGGTGGAGCTGTTGATTTTGGTGGATCTACTTTCATTGTGCTTGGGGATCAAGGGAGATTAGGAGATGCTGTGATATTCTTTGGAATGTCCTAGTGGAAGTTGAGCGGTTATACCTTTCACTCTTGGGGTGTTTCATGTCCCATAAAGTTTGAGAGATTGTTCTATGTCTTGAACTTCTTAAAGCATTGGTTGCTGCTGGGATTTGGGTCCTCCTCAGTTGTAACACCTTGTTAGCTGGGTTTCAAGTTGTATATTTGTTTTCTAACTATCTTGTAATACTTGTGCTTAGTTGGTTTTGTTGTTACAGTTGCTGTATTGCAAGAACCTCATTCTGGGGTTGTGTTCTTACTGATGTATCCTGAGTTTGTGCCACGTTCTTCAAATGAATCTCTACTATTTCGCAAAATAAAAAAAATAAAAAATAAAAAATAAAAAATAAAAAGCCCCGTCTATGGGTATTTGGATTTGCTTGGTTCACAAATTTATCAAGAGAAAATCTATATCTATATATATAAAGCAAAAGGCAGAAAATGGTGAAACATTCAAAAACCCCGAATATACCCTTGGTTAACAAAAATACTAAAGCACATGATTTATATTACATCTGGATAAAATGGTAAAGCAACACCCAATTAACAATATTGAAAAAGAAAAAAAAAGAAAAATGAAGACGACGTGCTGGGAGTTGAGCGCCCGCGCGTGTAAAGAGGGGAAAACCCATCGTGCAACTGAAAACCGCCAGCCCACACATGCAATGTATTTTTTTTTCTTCTGTTACAACTGCTCACTCAGCATACAAATCGAAATGGATATCTGGGATCTCATTCCTGTTTCCTATTTCAAATTTTCGGTTCCTCTTGCTCTGTGGTAAGCCTACCAGATGTTTCTTTCTTTTGATTTGAATTTAGTTGGTTTTTTGTGTGTGCACTTTATGTGTTTCATATTTGATTTCAGAGTGGTTTTTATTCAGTGAATTGGGGATTGAATTTTGTTCTTCTTTGTGTGGTTGAAATTTGTTGAAATTTGCGATTCTTCATTCCTGTTATTTCTCTTAATTTTTTTGGTCCACATTCGGTTTACTTCTCTTGGTTGATGAATTTGTCGATAATTGGACAATCTTTTCTGTATCTGCGCACGGGTGGTTCAATAACCATTTCCATTTCAATTCCGCTTTGGCTCTGTATAGGTCGATCACTACTTCTGAATCATATTTGAATTTTTTCATTGTTCGCATACTGAATGCTTATCCTTACACATTTATTATATGACAGCTTCAAGCAATATCAAGGACTAAGGAAAGAAATTCAACAATGAGGCAGAGCGTTGTTCAACTACCAATTTCAGGGGTGAAGTATTTGGTTGTTCAATTAGTATATTCAGATACCACCCTCTCTTTTTTACATCGGGATGCTGATTGTGTTTGACACTAGGTGTTTGTGAGAATACAATTTTAGGTCAGTAATTTCCTCTTTCTATTTTTGTCTTTCTGGAGGACGCAGGTGACAAGGGAAAAAAACAAAATCGAAGAAGAGGGCTTTGGCATTTGATTTTTAAGCTTCCTCTCCACAAAACACCCTTTCGTAATTCCCCTTATTACTTTTGTGTTGTTTCTGATTGGAATGCAGTGTTGGTTTTTATTTATGTTGAAATCCCTAATAACAATTAACTACTATGAATTTTTCTCTTTGTTTATATTACTGTAGTTGTACTTTCTGCATAGTTAGCCAATAGATAGGTGCAATGCATATCATGAAATTTGTTTTTCTGAATATTGTTGGTTCATGATGCAGAATTTTTGTTTTTACATATTATTTGGTTTTTACATTTCTGTGACATTTGGGTGTTTAGTTGCCAAGAACTATAACTTTGATGCATGTCAAATTCTGATGCGTAGACTAAAACCCAGTGTTAAGTCTACATAGCACACAAGCACACTTCACCGGATTCTCTGCCCTATAGTGTCTTATTTGTTTTTTCTTTTACATGTCTGTTTATTTATGATCTGTATTAGTTTTTCCTATCTTTCTGTTTTTTGTTATTGCATCTTTCAGTAAAAGATTGATGTCTTCTTTTGCATTTATTTTCTGTTTGGAATCAGATTATGTTTTGATTTTTTGTTTCTTTTCTTCTTTTCTCAATGAATACTTTTGGTAGATGAATTAAAAGCTTCATGAGGATCATGTGCTTGGACTTCAATATAGTCTCCTCTAATTTTTGTTGCTCTTCTTATGATGTGTTTTTTCTTGGTGCTGGTATAACTAAAAACCGTTTGTGCTCAATAGTGTTTAAACTCAAAAAGAGAGAAGATTTAAATTCGTATAGAAGGGATTGTGTTCAAGCTATTTACCAGGTTATCATTTCAAATCCTATCTCTTTTTCGTCATCACACGTGCTCTTCCAAGTTTTAATTTGTTTGTTAGGATTTCTGAATTTGGGTGTTTGATTTCTGAATTTTAATCTTCTCTATTTTGGTTAATTTTGTCTTGGTTTCTCTCTGTCTCTTTCATTCTTATATTTCATTTTGTCAAGTAAACATTTTCTCTATGATTTTCTTATGTTTCATTTCAGAATTTTAACTATGTTTATATAAGGATGTTGATACTTTCTTATATTCATTCATGTGGCAGTAAAGGAAGATCACATTTATTACAGTACAACATGAAGAGAAGGCTCATAATTTTTTCATGTAAACTCCTAGAGCTCAGGCGTGCAACCAAAAATATCATTAGACTGCTTAAAATTGGAGAAGGTGGATTTGGGAATGAATGTTTATAAAGGTTCAATGAAGCCTTGCTGGTGCCAAGGGTGATCCAATCGTGGTCCCCATTAGAATGCTTAACAATGATGGCTTACAGGTATATATGGGGTTTAAGCGTCTTCCTATTAATTGAAGTATTAAACAACGCCCTCAAGAGTTTTTTTCCTTCTTTTTTCCATTATTAGTTTACGCGCTTCACACATTTTTGTTGATTTATTCTCCTTGAATATATAAGCTCATAGTTAAATTGTTGTATGAAATATTGTTAATTGAGTTGTGAGTCTTCTGGCCCTTTTCTTTTGACATTTCTGTTCAGTCTCTTTCTATGACAAATTTTTTATTTTCTTTTAAAGTGAATTTGATGCTATTCAGTGGAACATTTCTTATGATTTTTTTATAAAATTTGAGTATGTGTATATTGCAAGAGAGAATGCCTAGAGTAAGTGATATTTCTTAGCATATTTGTACAAACCTATTTTCCATAGTTTAGTTTATCTTGGTTACCAAAACTGTTGTTGGATACTCACTTTCAATGTGGCATGCTTCAACCAATTTAGTTGTTGCGTGTATCCCACCACCCGAACCAATTTATATGTTGATACTCAACATCATTGCCATGCACATATATAATAGGTAAAGTTTCATCCTTCTCTTTTATTTCTCTGACTTTTTAGAATGATTGGTTTTGTTAATGTTTTTTGTCTTTGGTTTTATCTAAGAGGATGCACAGAGTTGGCAAGTTGTGATGCCACTGCAGAGTACCCAAAGAGAGTAAAGTGGATGGTGGAGATACTAATTTTTCTACTTAGGATATCAATTATTGATAAAGGGTGCGAGTCTGTAGTATTTTCCTTTTATTTAGCTTGGTATGTCAAATTGTTTGCCACAACTCCATAGGAGTTGGATGTTTATTAATTCTTTGCATTTCAAAATTGTCTACACGTTTTCTTCTTCTTCTTCTTCTTCTTACCTCCATTGGAGATGTTCCTATTAATTTTGGATAGTATTGATGTCACTTTCATCATATCCACTTCAAATTCACTTTTGTTTTAATCAATTGTTCAAAGTTAAAGCAACAACTCCAATTCATCCTCTAAAGCAATAACACCAGTTCAATCGCCGTAATTGCTAAAATTGGTTAGACTAGCCTTTCTGCGTGCTTGGAAACACGTGTGAGAGGCTTTTTCTTAATCACACACACTATGAGCGACTTACAAATTTTTTATTTTTTATGTTTTTGCAATTGTATCTTGCTAGATGTCCATTTCAATAATTGCTTTATTTAATCACGTGTATAAATTGATATCTATATAAATATAATTGCAAAAAAATATTCATGAAACTTTGTAAGTCGTGTGTAGTGCGTGTGATTAAATAAAAGCCTCTCGCACTCGCGGATTGATGACAAAACATATCATCGATATTAGACAATTGTTACGCATTTATTTCACTCAACATATCGTATACACAATGCATTATTGAAGACAAAAATGTAGGTAATCTAGACTTCAGTGAAATATGTAATAAAATTTTCATTTATATACATAGATTCGATATATTATAGTGTTATATTCTATTAATTTAAACTAAATTACCCATTTAATCCCCTTAATTAAGTTTTTTTTATTTTAAATTATAAGTATTTAGGCAAGTAGCAAAGGATAAACTATCAAAATTGAAGGCGAGTATACATATCCCAAATTATGCTAAAATTTGATTAGTACAAATTTAAAACTATATGTTTAAGTTTGGTCTCATCTCACGTTATTTATGTATAGATTGACAATGAAAAAGTGAAAGATCAATTAGAGAGGAATGAGTGGCGCAAGTGGTCTTGATCGTTGCATGTCTTCCTCTTATGTAAATATTTATATATATATATATATATAGATTAACGTGTGGGTAATTAATTGAATAAGAATCCCCCTAGCTCCTAAAGTTTATTAGACTAGCCTCCCTGCACGCACTTCCGCTTGTGAGAGGCCTTTTTTTAATCACGAGTGCTACGCGCAACTTACAAAATTTCGTAAATATTTTTTCACAATTGTATTTGTATAGATGTCCGTTTCAACAGTTTCATATTTTAATCGCACGCATGTGATAAATCGTTGCCTTAAAAATTTTCCTTTATGGCCCATATTTTTCTAGACATCCATCTTAGCAGTTTACACGCTACAAAAGAAAAAAAAATGCTAAGATGGATGTCTAGAAAAATATGGGCAATAAAGGAAAACTTCTAAGACAACGATTTATCACACGCACTGGATTAAAATATGAAACTGTTGAAACCGACATCTAGTATGTATAAAGCACAAACTAATGCAATTAGGAGGGTCCTTTTTTCTTAATTTTGTATTTATTAAATAGTGTAGCCGTGCGGCTGTACCTTTGAATATAATGCATTTAAATAGTATAGCCGGATGGCTATACTACGAACTGTTCCAAAAAAAAATTGACACGTGAAGCAAGACGGTCCCCTTTAAAAGTAAAAAAAGGTACAGCCGGACGGCTATACTCTGTTTTTTTAAAAATAGAGCAGTTTTGACACGCGGCTGCTAATTGGTGGGGGACCTTGTATTATAAAAATAGCATAGCCGAACGGCTATACTATATTACACGTGGGCACCAAAGGGCCGTGGGTCCGTACTCTTTTTTATAAATAGGAAATAGTTTTTATTTTTATTTTTAATTGTCTTCAATACATAATATAGACTAGTGGCTACAGTCTTTGATATATATATATATATATTTTTTATTGAACAAGAATTTAGCACTTTCAAGTTTAATACTCTATTATACACATACGTACGTATTTTTCAATAATACATTCGTGTTCTATACACATCTCACGTTTTTTAAAAAGAAAATGTGGTTGCACATATACATATGTATTTCTAACGTTTAATACACGTATTCTTTACAAAATTTGTAGTAAGACACACAAAATTCACATATTATACGAATAATTCTCACATACTATTGAATAAGAATAATACATGTTATAAAAATTATATTACAATATTATATAGTGGACGATTAATATCTACCTTGGAAATGTTGAAACTAGCAAATTAATATGTATAAAGTACAAACTAATGCAATTAGGAGGGTCT